AGGGGAGAGAGGGAAACGGGGCGAAGAGCAAAGGGGAGACCAGGCAGCGCGAATGCCACCTGCTTTGAGCGTAGTTCGAGGGCTGGCGTCCAGCTCCCGCAAGTTGGACACCTGAACTTTGATGTAATGTCGAGACTCGCGGGTTTAAAACTTTAATGCCAGCGGGGTCATCCCATTTAACCCGTTAAAAGGAGAACAATGTATTCTTGAGCTCCGGTGCAGTCACCTTCTGACCCTGTATGTTATTAGGGATTTGGACTTTACACGAAAAAAGGGGTTTTTTTTCCCCCCTACACTGTTCTTTCTCTTCATTCTCAAGATCTGATGAATAGGGTTAATGGTACCTGAAAGATGTCAGCTGCAAGAAAGCCAGCTGAGGGCTACATTTCCAATCTTTTGAGCAGAACTGTTTTATTTTCAGACGACGGTGGACACACACACACACACACACACACACACACACACACCGAGGAAATAATTCATAGACTCACAAATATCATTGGAAACCAAAGGACCGCTGTCCTGATTGCTTATGGATTAAATTTCATTATTAACTGTTACTAGGAGGCAGAATCAATACTCACTTTATAGAACAGTCTTAAGGATGTATACTGTAGGTTGTAGTATCAGGTGTGATTTTGACTGCCTGTGTGCATTAAGTGGCAGTGTAAATGTAATGTGGTACGCTTAGTTTCAGAGTGAAGGTCTTGAGCAAAAATAGACTGTTTAAACTTAATCATATCATCCCTTCTGTTCGTGATTTTTCAGAACAGAATGTAACATGTATTTCTAAGTAGTGTTAGGAATTTGTATTATTCCAGGTGTAATTGCTTTTATGGGTCTGAATGTATCTGCTCAATTGTAACCTCCCTCTGAAATTTAGTAGCATATTGCTGATTCTTGGGGAACTTTTGTTAGCAGAGGGACTAGAAGAATTTCAGTACTAACTCATAATGGGTTTGGGTTCTTTTACAGATGTTTTCCCCACCTGTTAATAGTGGGAAAACTAGACCAACGACACTGGGAAGCAGTCAGTTCAGTGGATCAGGTAAGATGATGCCTCAAGTCAGAAACTCTTGACATTGTGTGACATTTTAGTAGATAAGTATAAAGTACTTTAATATTTTTCTTCCTGCCGTTTTATGTTTAGTGTGTGAAGTAAAAATTATAAACAAATAAAAATCCCCCATTTGAGCTGACGCACCAAGGATTCATTAACATTTCTGTTAAGAATTTCAATATGGATTTGAAATTGTCTTCTGAGTTTGAAAATTGAAAATTGGCTTGTTTGAATAGAAGGGATATAATTGGTAATCTTGCCTGGAATGTCAGTGCAGTGTGTTGTCAGAGAATGGTAACTTGCCACAGAAACTAAAGTAATGCTATTGGGAAGGGTGTTTTGGGAAGGGGAGGGTTTGTACATATTGCCATAGACTAGAGTGTAGCATACAACACTCCCTATCCCCCCTTTTAAAGTCATTTCATATAACTACTTTTGAATGTCACTTGATTATTTCTTCTGTTGAGGATGCTAAAATTGTAAATACAACATTTTAGCTTCTAGGGATTAAAAGGAAGATTGATATTTAGTTTTATATTCAATACTTAGTTCTATGTGAGGAAAGCATAAGAAGCAAAAGGCTTATAATATGTATGGCCTTTTAAAAGTTTATTTAAATATGTGTGTGAATATAAATCTTACCATATTTTCAGCTTGTGAGCATTTATTAAACTAGGTTCTAAAGAATTGGTAAAAAAGGTATTATGGAATGTATGCATGTGAAAAACTGTTATTGAGCACCACAACAACTAGTAAGATTTATTTATTTTTAAAAAAATTGTCATTCCCCTGAAAATCAGCAAATTGCTGATTGTTGTGCACAGTTATTTAAAATGTTAATACAAATTATTAGAAATTTAGACTTAATTTTGAATGCCCCCATTCGATGGCTGAATTATGCACTGTAATTCACATTATGATAGGTTAATGTTAAAGTAAATTAGATTCTTGTTCCCATAATAAACCTTCTCTGTATTTATACCTTATCTCCATCATTAAATGTGGATCCCATTTTTCTTAGGTATTCTTTTCCTACTGCTTAGAACTCACAATTATTTTATAAACATTTCATAAGCAAGGTCCAGTCTAGTGTACACATGCTGTAATTTTCTGTTTAGTTTGTTACTTAGTGCTAAGAGATTGACAAACAAATAAGCCAAAGTTCTCTCAGCATCATTTTAAGCAGACCAGCTGTCAAATCTGTGGGCTGAAACTCACTAATTCCTCTTTGATACTTTTTATTTCCTCTTGTTAATGATACTTGATTTTGTAAAATAGTTTGAGAGCAAGACATGAGAAAACATGGTTAGTGCTCTAACTAATTTTATACTCTACAGTGAAAGAATGTTCCTACTTGAAAATCATATAGTTGTTTAGTTTCTAAAATTCATTTTTAAGGATGAAACTCCAGTTGTGAAAAATTCTGCATTTAGTTTCACATTCCTGAAGAATAAGAGTATTTTGAATTTTAAATCACACTGAAGGCTAATCAGATTGATAACATGATTAGCCAAACCCCAATTCTCATAGTTCCTTTCTTTTACTGGAAATTATTAGAAAATTTTTACTTTGGGAGAGGGGAAGGAAGAAAAAATGATTAGTTATAGAGAAGAAAGCAATAGACCCTTTACTTTTTAAAAATAGTTTTATTGAGATATATAGCATATCTACAATTCAATAGTTCAATTAAGAAGAGTTGTGCATTCATTCCCACAATCAACTGTGGAACATTTTCTTCCTCCTTGTACCGATTACTGTTGACCGTATTCTTCTCTACCAATGTTTTGACTGCAATTTGATTTTTGCACTTTTGGGAGCTTTCAAATTTATTTTGCCTAAGAAATAGTGAGATGTCCAGATTCACATACATACGGTATACTTAGTAAATAATGTATTAAGTGAGCACTATTTATCAATACAACGTTTGCTTCATTAGTGCCAGCTTAAATTGTGGAATATATGTAAGTGACATACATGGTTTTCAAGGACATGGACTTCTGACACTTGCTATTAGAAATACTTTGTGTTTTTAAAATAGGATAATTATCTTTTTAAAAGTAAGACGGTATAGAAATAAACACTGTATGTAAACTTGGTGAGAATTAAAGTATTGGCACTGGAGCAATTGTGGAACCCGTCTTTAAGTAGCTTGCATTACATACACACAAAATTTATCCTGTGGAAGTCGTTATGGTATTTGATTCTTGGGAATGAGAAATTTAATTCTGAAACCGCTTGAGTTATTCATTTAAAGTTTGAACTTAGAACACCTGTATTCAATGGACAGTAATATTTATGTGGTTTGCTGTAAATGTCAGAAGATTGCTGTATTAAAAAATAATCCTGTGACCTTTCATAATAAATGGACTTAAATTTTTCAAAGGAAAGATAACATAAATGATTATTTTACATCAAACTATACTGGTAAATAAGGTTTAGAAATATAGTAATTTCTGATATTAAAGGGAATTTCATAAAGAAATTGGCATACTAATATTACTTATAAGTGATACAGTTATATATATCCTAGACATTTAAAGTAATTTTCTGTTCTAGTTTCAAAAGCTATTATGTAATACTTCCTAATACTTGTTTACTTACAGCATGTAAAGGACTAGAGATCTGGCTTTCCTTTTGAAGAGTTGACTTAAGATTAAATTAGAATTTTCTTGTCTTTTAGTTTTACATTTGTAAAACCCCAAGCTTTTGACCTAGTGGAAACTATAATTGTGCATTATCATTATACTTCTTGATTATTTTTTCCTTTTGAAGATGACTTAATTGGGCTGTTTTTGAAAAATAACACGTTCAGGATTTTTAAAGCTCAAAACATGCACGTGTGTGTGTGTGTGTGTGTGTGTGTGTGTGTGTGTGTTACAGTACATGTTGCTCTTGTTTATTTTATTCCAGAAACAAAACAAGTAACTTGTGTGATAGCTGACATTGCAATAGCTGGCATTGCATCAGAAGTTATTGCTGAAAAGATGAATGTGTATTTAATATTACTCATTTGTCTTGACTTGGTTATATGTTTTTCTTCTTCAGGGTGTTTTCTTTCTGTGATGGTAAGACTGACTTGGTCCACTTGTGATAGGCTCTGGAGGTGTTCTTAGAGTGACCTTGAGAGATGTGCTTCTCAGTTGGAGCGGAAGATGAGGGCACTCTGTTAGGGAGGTCATGTAAAGCAGGAAAGCTTGTGAAAATACTGCCAAATTGGGAATGAACTTTTTCAATCACAAAACTTATACCCTCTTGCTCCAGTTTCCTAAGTTTGAATGTGTAGAACTAGCTTGTGATACTGGGTTTAGTTTTCAATAAATGAAATGTTGGCATAATAACTGGAATTTTCTTTGTTAGTTTTTGGATCCAGATAATAAGAGAAGGTGGAAAGAGGTGGAAGATATTTGTTTTGCAAGCCATATGTATATATTGAATATCTTTCCTTGATATTTCTATCTAGAAGTTATTTTAACGAGCAAGCAAAGGTTTACTTTATTGAAATCAGAATTTTTTTTCAGTGTAGATTTCTTCTGCCCAAGCTTTTTTTTTTGCCAGGGGGGGCGGGGAAAGACACTAATTAATATTGAGCATTTTCTAGCTCTTATGTGAAAATAGAATACAGAATACAGTTTTTCATTCTTCATTTTTTAGAGGGAACATTTTCAGATGTATATAGCAAGGCTTTTTGAAATTTTTTTGTATAGGGTGAGAAAAATGAATGTTCATTAAATTGTTCTCCATTCATTTAAAAACAATTAGGTATTTAAAATTTGAGATATGATTCACATGCCATTGTAAGAAATAATGCCCAGAGATCCTGTGTACCCTCTTGCCCAATTTCCCTCAGTGGTAACATCTTGTAAAACTATATAGTACCACATCACAATTAGGCTATTGTCACTTAGGTAGAGATACGAGGCAGTTAGTTCTATCACTACAAGGATTCTTGATGCTGGCTCTTTATACCTGTATTTGCTTCTCCAATAGTAGCAAAACAAAAAGTTCCAAAGTAAGATTATTAAATATTTACTTTATTAGAGTAAGCTTTTCAAATGGCTGTAACAATTTTTTTGAATTGAATTTTATTTGTTCCTTGAATTGAATTTGTTCCTTGAATTTTATCCCCCCGCCCGCCAATGGGAATGTTGAAATTAGAAATACAATGTTTTTAGCATTTAAGGAACAAAATGAGAGAACAAACATTTAATATATCAGTTCAAAGGCTAATGAATGACTTTCAGCCATATTTATCTCAAAATTTTCAGTTACCTGCTACTTTATTTAATATTTATTTTGTGAAGCCTACTTTCCTAGTAGCTTTTGAGAAGGTGAGAAATGGACATTTCATTAACTAGACCAGAAGATAAAATGTGAAATCATGAGGTAGATGAATTTCTCTGACAAAAACCATTAATATCATTGAAATTGAATCCCTGAGAGTAAGTTTATGCTGAGGTGTGGGGTGGGTCTAAGGGAAACTTAGAGAAGGTGAATTTAGAGTTGTTCTGTGAAGGTGATAGGAAAATGAATTAGGAAAGAGAAATGACTCTCGGGTGTGAAATCGTTTGATGGAGTGACCTGGAAATGGGAATTTGACTGGATCTAAGTGCTTAGAAAGTCCAGAGAAAGAGAAATCGAATCTTACTGAACCGTATTCCTGGAGTACTCTTTTCTGGGGACCATACTGCCTGGTTTCAAATTCTAGCATTGCCACTTAAACTAGCTGGGTGGTTTGGGGCAAGTTACTTAATCTCTCCGACTGTTTCTTAATCTGCAATGTAGGATTAGCAACAGTAACTATCTTTAGTTTCCAGACATATCCAAGAATCTTGCAGGGGGCTAGTAAACTGGTGGAAAACATGTTTAGTGGTGAGGGACTAGCAATAAGAAGGCATTCATTTAGGAGGCTACTGCACTAATGTAGAGCTGTTGAACGTTAAGGCTTGGTTTGGGAGTAGTGGGTAAGGTGGGAAGACACCAGGAGTAAA